CTTGCTCGGTACACAGAAAACAATTATGAGTTTATTTTACTTAGGAAGAATAGTTGCACAGAAAACAATTACGAGTTTATTTTACTTAGGAAGAATAGACGAAGTAGAATACCAAATTCAAAAGTACTCTTTTAGTTTCAATAATTTTATATTATTTCAAGAGCACAATTTGTATGCAAACATATTTTTAACAGTTTTTTCAAAACTCTAATTTCTTATTAAAATGCTATTAACAATCGAGAACTTTCTACATTCAGCGATAATTTCAACAAATATATAAATATTTCCAATATTTCTGTATCATTAACTATACAGAAAGTTCTCGATTGTTAATAGCATTTTGGTTTTTTTTATTTTCCAAAAGATAAATGTAATTTTCTATATTAATTTAATATTAAATAGTTTAAAAATAATAATAGCATTAAACATTTTATAATTCGATTTTAGAAACCAATATTATTTTTGGGAAATTTTTGTTTAGGAAGGATATTTTTTGTAAGTGTGTTGAATGGGCGTGCCAACTGTCTGCAAATCATTCACAATGGTCGGCTAGAGAAATCATATTTAATATTATTTATTATGACTCCGCAAAAGGCCAATTGTGAATGGAGTGGTATGTGTGTGGGAGGTGGAGTACAAGGAGGGGGTGGAGGATGAGGAGGGGGAAAGAGTGGAGCGACAAGTTCAAGCAGGGCAACAATTTCTTTTCAGGTCGCTAATACACACATATGTACATACATATGTAAGCATGTGCGGAGGAAATGCTTTCAACAAGATTTCTTTGGCCAAAGAATTTACAGCAATTGCCTCTTTCTCTATTTTGTTTACATGCACTGCATCTCTTTCCCTCCCCTCCCCAAACCATCCCTTTCCCACACCATTAGTGTGTGCGTGTGCTGCAACTGCGAAAATGTAAACAAGTATAAAAACGTCTAATAACCGCTGGAATTCCAAGAAGCGAAGCGAGAATTAGTAAAAATGCGCTCACCTTCGTTTTGATATCTGTGTCGCCTGCTCACTTTTGATTTTTTTTCGGTGGTTTACGTCATAAGACCAGAAAAATAATGGCTTGCCACTCTCACACACACACAGCCACAATCAAGCAAACACACACACAAACTCGCGATCAAACGGCTTTTGTTGTGGTTGTTGTTTTCGGTCTCTGGCTTTTTGTTTGTTTTATTGCGCGACGCTTGGCACAAAAAACAAGCTGCGCGCACCGCTTCCAACACTTTGTGATTATATTTTCTCTCAGTGTATTATATCGTACTCATTTAGTTGTTGTTGGTCTCGACTTTTGGCCACTTGTTGCTCTTCTAACGCTAATCACTACAGAAAATCACTCTGCTATCCGGCTTTTTTGCAACGCAAACACTTGGCTGGTTCGTTATTGGCCACTTGGCATATAGATCGCTGGCTTTTTGCGGCCGTTAATCGCAGAAAACATAAAATCTTGGCACAAGCGATTCGATTTGCACAGCGCGTTGAGTTGATCGGAATTGGTGTGACCGTTGCGGGATCGTTAAAACATACTATCAGTAAAACGCACTAAAATATACCTTGCAGCAACCACGGCGTGGACTTAGCTCGGACACGAATCAAAACACGACTTAAGCCCATACTCTTAAACTACGTATTTTATATTTATTTCAAGCTGTATTTTAAAACAAGTAAAATAGAGACGTCGGCTATCTTAAGATTTTCATAATTATTTATTTGCAGAATACCCTCACTTAAGAAAGGAAAATATTTGTATTAAGTTGGCAGCTCTTGTTCAACCAACAGCTGAGTTGTACATAGATATGGACAAACTTCGATGATGAACCATCGACAATCGCCTACAGCGTGATTGAAATTGTTAATTTCTCGTCAGGATTGGTGCAACTCCTGGACGTATGCCGAAATTCAATAGGATGCAACGTGACAGGGACACCTCCGGCTCTTACGCCCGCAAGCCCAGACACCCACCGGGTCTCAAGGGCAAGGACATCGGCCTTTACTACCGCAATCTCGCCCGGCAGCAAAAGAAGGACAGAGGCGAGGAACAGCCGCAAATCCGATTGGGCTGCAATGTCAGCGTTCCCAGTGGTGTCCTAGCGCGCGTCAAGGAGTTCATGGAGGAGTATAACCGAGCACCAACCAGGGATAAACGCGATGTGGATGCCCAGTTTAAGCGGCAGTTCCGGCATCTTTTGAAAGTCAATTTCGAGGACTTCGTGGCGGAGACCAAGGAGAAGAACGAGGGTTTGGACTACACCAATGCCAAGCTGGACGAGACGCTGCAATTGGAGCTAGAGCAGCGCCAGCAGGAGGATAATGGCAGGGAACGCCTGGCGGCGCGAAATAAACTGCCCACCATGAAGTACGCCAAGAAAATCGTCAAGGCTGTGCGGAAAAACCAAGTAATCCTGATCGTGGGCAGCACGGGCTGTGGCAAGACCACGCAGGTACCACAAATCCTCCTGGACGATGCCATTTCCCGGGGCTGTGCCTCGTCGTGCCGCATTGTTTGCACCCAGCCACGAAGGATTTCGGCAATAACCATTGCCGAGTGGGTTAGTTACGAGCGTTGCGAAAGTCTGGGCAACTCGGTGGGCTACCAGATTCGCCTGGAGAGCAGGAAGCCCCGCGAAAGGGCTTCCATAACGTACTGCACCACAGGAGTTCTGCTGCAGCAGCTCCAATCCGATCCATTGATGCACAATCTTAGTGTCTTGATCTTAGATGAAATCCACGAACGCAGTGTAGAAACTGATCTATTAATGGGTCTTTTGAAGGTTATTCTGCCCCATAGACCCGATCTGAAAGTAATTCTTATGAGCGCCACTGTGCGGGAACAGGATTTCTGCGACTATTTCAACAACTGTCCCATGTTTAACATCGAAGGCGTAATGTTTCCCGTTCAAATGCTCTATCTGGAAGATGTCCTGGCCAAGACGAACTACCAGTTCCAGAAGTCCCGCGATCGTCGTCCTAAGCGTGATGGCCCTGAGCGGCAGATGAACCATGCAGCGATGATAGAACCTTATCTGCGGCGCATCAGGAACTCGTACGACAGTCGTGTGCTGGAGAAATTGCGTCTGCCGGAATCGGAGGGCTGCGAGGACATTGATTTTATAGCCGATCTCGTTTACTACATATGTGAAAATGAGGCAGAGGGTGCCATATTGGTCTTTCTGCCGGGCTATGATAAAATCTCGCAGCTGTACACTCTTCTGGACAAACCAAAAACTCCGAAGGGCCAAAGATGGAGGGATCATATAGCAGTCTTTCCTTTACATTCCCTAATGCAATCAGGGGAACAACAGGCGGTGTTCAAACGTCCACCAAAGGGCAAACGGAAAGTCATCATCTCCACGATTATTGCCGAAACCTCGGTGACCATTGACGATGTGGTTTATGTGATCAACCCTGGTCGCACGAAGGCCACCAACTATGACATTGAAACTAACATACAAATGCTTGAGGAAGTGTGGGTGACCAAGGCAAATACGCAGCAGCGGAAGGGCAGAGCAGGTCGAGTTCGGCCTGGAATATGCTATAATCTGTTCAGCCGTGCTAGGGAGGATCGTATGGACGATATTCCAACGCCCGAGATACTGCGCTCCAAGCTGGAATCCATAATTTTAAGCCTGAAGCTCCTGCACATCGATGATCCGTATCGGTTCTTGCAAACACTGATTAATGCGCCCAATCCCGATGCCATTAAGATTGGAGTGGACCTGCTGATGCGGTGAGTTGAAAGGAATGCGCTTTTACTATAAAAATAATATTATTATCTTGTTAATCAGTATTGACGCACTGGACAAGACGGGCACCCTCACTCCGCTGGGCATGCACTTGGCCAAGCTGCCCATCGATCCGCAGATGGGCAAAATGATACTGATGTCGGCTCTCTTTTGCTGCTTGGATCCTATTACTTCGGCGGCGGCTGCTTTGTCGTTCAAGTCGCCGTTTTACTCGCCCTTGGGACAAGAAAGTCGAGTGGACGAGATCAAGCGGAGAATGTCCAACAATATGCGTAGTGATCATCTGTTGGTGCACAGCACCATTGTTGCCTACCGTGAGAGTCGCTATGCGCATGCGGACCGTGACTTTTGCTATCAAAATTTCCTCAGCTCCATGACACTGCAGCAGCTGGAGAGGATGAAGAATCAGTTCAGTGAACTTCTATACAACTACAAGTGAGATTGTCATTCGATTAACTGAACTAAATGCTCATAGCTCGCGATGTTACAGATTTCTTACATCCTCCAACTGCAAGGATGCTGCATCCAACATGAATTCAGAAAAGATTCCCTTGCTGAGGGCCATAATTGGAGCGGGTCTCTATCCCAACATGGCCCACTTGCGGTAGGTATTATTTAATCAAACTAAAAACAAGAAGCTTCACGTATTTGTTTTCAGAAAATCGCGGCAGATTAAGAACCGAGTGCGTGCAATTCATACCATGGCAACGGACGATGGACGTCGTGTGAACTTCCATCCCTCCTCGGTGAACAGTGGCGAGAGTGGCTTCGATTCGGAATATTTTGTCTATTTCCAGCGACAGAAGTCTACTGATCTTTTTCTCCTAGATTCCACAATGGTTTTTCCGATGGCGCTGATCATTTTCGGTGATGGTGTGGAGGCAGGGGTAACCGAAAACAAGCATTATTTATGCGTGGCCAAGACTTATTAGTGAGTATACCAAATCTTTCGTTAAATTATGATTAAACAAAAATTTCCCCTAGCTTCAAATGCGATCAAGAAACTGCCGACGTAGTCCTAGAACTGCGTGGCAATCTGGAAAAATTGCTGCTCAAAAAGGCTTTGTATCCGGCACCCATTGACGATAATGGATATGAAAAGCAGTTGATAAAGTACGATCAATTTAAAAATGAGTTCTTACATTTAATTTAAAAATGTTTTGCTTACTCAACAGAGCTATTGAACTGCTTCTATCGTTAGACGAAAGTATGGGCGACGACTATATGTCCTCCGATGAAATTGATGACATCTAACCTGCCTCATTAGCCTGGTGTTTTCATTTATTGTTTAGCAAAACATAGTATATGTTAATAATAAATTATAGGTGCAAACTAGTGATGCAATAACAAAATTTCTTGGTAAATGCGCCTTTTAGTCGTCCTCCAGTAGAGCAAATACGTTGCGGGACCTGGGCGCATCCTCCTCGATGGCGCACTCGTCTTCATCGGCATTTGTCTCGTCATTGGAGCTGTCCTCGTCTTCATCATCGCTGTCGGCGGCTGAAATATGGTTTGTTTTTTTAATATAAATTTGTATTTTTCTGTAATGTAGTGACTCACTATCCGAGCAGACTGATGACGTGTCGCCGTTGGTCTCGCTCTCCGGTTCTTCTAGATCCACTTGCTGGTACTTCTTGGCCTCGGCCAGATCGGGATGCAGGAGCCACTGATCCCGTCGCTCCTCGAAACCCGGCGGATAGAATTGCAGTACCAGCAGCTGTTGTCCGGCCAGGGCCAGGCGAAGAATGTGATTGGCGGCCCGATAGCGATCCGGCCTGGCCGCCTTCGCGGTAAGGAATCCCCTCTTGTATGCCCAGGCATCGGAAATGGCCACCGCCGACCACTCATCATAGTCTTCGGGCAGGTGAAGCCTCAGAAGCTGCGGTAAATTCAAATTTTCGCCGAGAATCTTCAAGGAGCGGTAGGGAACAGACAGCTGGGAGATGGGGAAACTGCCGAGCAGCACTTGGAGGCTTTTGGGAGTACTCGACGGAAAGACTAGACCGGGACAATCGCACAGGCGAACGAGGGGCGTGAGGAAAATGGTCTGAAAGTGCTTCGTGTGTCCGGGCGTGCGACTCACGCTGACCACCTTGCGTCCCTTCAGGGCGTTGATCAGCGAGGACTTTCCGACATTGGGGAAACCAATACAGCCAATGGTCAGGACGCCACTGTGATACTTTACATGCTCGTGCGGCGTGGTGTCGATGCTGCTGCTGATCTTGAGTTCCCCCTCGACGGCCGTTGTTAGATCATCCAGGATATCCAACTGATCACTGCGCATATCCTCGCGAATCTTCTGCTCCCATTCGGTCAGATCCACCTCTCCTTGGACATAGCGCTGGCACTCTTTGTATATGTTGTACACACCCTCCATACTCCTGCGATGCGCCTGTGGACCACGCTGACTTCCTTTGCGGGATCGCGGTAGGAAGGATGCGAAGAGGACCACTGGTAGGTGGGGGTAACGTTCGCGGAAGTACTGCCTCCAGGCCACTACCACATGCGGTTCCACCAGATCCACCTTATTGAACACCACAATAGCATGTTTCTTCAGCGTATTGATGATGTAGTCGTAGAGGGAGGGCGGAAACATCAGCGTGGCATAGCGAACATCCACAATAATGAGCAGGATGTCCGAGAATTCGAGAACACGCCAAAGCTGACGCCAGGTTTCCAGGTTCAGCTCGAACAGGGATAGCTCCTTTGAGTCGCCAGCACGTTGTTTCTTCTGCAGCTCATCCACGTATTCCTAGAGTTGTATATAATATGTATGTATATGAATGTAAATATTTAGAATCTAAGTTTCGGATATAATTTCATAGAACTAGATATATGGTTGGATTCAGGAGGACCTCTTTAGTGTAAATTTAACTTACAATATTTTTTAATATGTTGACTTTATCTTTTAGTTACCAAAATTAAGTTAGCGTGGTTTTATGGGATATATTGTGGGTTCGGACGGATCTATTGTAAAGGTATCATGGTTAAAATAGGGCAAAAAGTCTAAGATTTGAGTTATTTAAAATTTTTTTCCTTATAGACCTGACCTACCTTAAAGTACCGATTCTCGGTGCGATCCAGCTGTTCCTTGGAGCTCGCCAGTTTCCAAGGTGGTCGAACTGGGAAGTCGCAGCCGACGAAGTAACGATCGTCCACCTCCCGCTGTTTGGGACTGAGTACCTCGAACGGCTTGAAGCCCTCCTGTTTCATCTGCTCGAGCTCCTTCTTGCCCTCCTGGTAGAACTGCAGATTATAGCGATTCACGTTCTTGTTCCGATTTCCGCCGCGAGCGAAGGGCTGTTCCATGAGTTTCCTTGTTGTTTCGGGCACATCGCTGTCCTCGTACGATTCCTGGGTGCTACGCAGATACTTGGGCGGACCTGGCGTAACATCGTTAGTCATACATGGGCTCCTCGGTTTTTCTTTCTTTCCGCCCCCTTTTCACAGGTGGGCATAAAATCACATTGTATTCTTCTCACCTTTTGTGTTGCGCTTCTGCAGCATCTGGTCCTTCTTCTTCTTGCCGCTGAAGGCCACCTTGCGCCGTTGCTGTGGCATTGTTTTTGGGTCAAATCCTGGTCTCACTTCCGGTCAATTTGGGTTTGTCTAGCACTAGTTAATTCTAAGCTGTAATTGGGATTGAATGTTGTTGCGGCTTTTCCCTTTTGCGAATTAAAAGTTTTGGGCGAGTTGGCAGCACCAGAAAGCCGGAAAAGGGTTGTCGAGTCTAAGAAAGTCTGATCTACAATTTGAATTTGTTTCTTGAATTTCCAGTGAATTTATATATTGTAGTAACATAATTTTCAAACAATCAAAATTGTTCAATTGAATATTATTCAAGATATTAGATATTTTATAATACGAACTAAAATATTTTAATATTAAATACAAATTTTTCTAGTAAAAATATGAAAGCTAGTTCGTTTGTATGATGTATTGGATTTCCCTTTCGTGTCACGAATAAGTAACAAAAGCTCCAACAAGTTGGCAGCCCCATTGCAATGGCGTTCAAAGTGCAATTACTTTTCTTATTAATTTTGGGCTAAAAACACCTCAAATAATGCCGCTGAAAGGCATAAAGGTGTTGGAATTCGTGGGCCTAGCTCCGGGACCATTATGTGGCAAGATCCTAAGAGATTTTGGGGCCACCGTCACCCGCATTGATAAGGTAAACAAACCGGGCGTTACACATACAGAGCCTAAAAGCCTTATTTAAATGAGATCTTATCTTAAACAGGTCCTCGAAAACCCATTGGACGTACTGCAGCATGGAAAACGCACTATAAGTCTGGATCTGAAGAATCCCAAGGGTCAGCTGTTGGTGCGCCAGTTGGCCAAGAAGTGCGATGTGCTCATCGAACCTTTTCGACCGGGAGTTATGGAGAAACTTAACTTGGGTCCCACCGAACTGTGTAAAGTGAATCCCCGCCTGATTTATGCCCGTCTCACGGGTTTTGGCCAGCATGGCAGATTGGCTCCACGGGCGGGTCATGACATCAACTATGCTGCCATATCGGGAGTACTCTCCATGCTGGGCAGGCGGCATGAGAAGGTCACTGCACCCATTAATCTTCTGGCCGATTTCGCTGGTGGCAGCGTGATGTGCGCCCTGGGAATTTGTCTTGCCCTCTTGGAGCGCCATAACTCCGGAAGAGGTCAAGTGGTGGATGCTTCAATGGTGGAGGGAGCTGCCTATGTGGCCAGTTGGCTATTTATGTCCCGGAATCTTGGCATTTGGGGGCGAGAGCGTGGTGAGAACCTCATCGATGGGGGCTCATATTTCTACGATACCTATGAGACCAAAGACGGTCTCTACATGTCGGTGGGCGCCCTGGAACCGCAGTTTTTTGAACTGCTTAAACAGCGTTTGGAACTGCCCGAAGACCTCGCTCAGTTTGGCGACGAACATGAGGATCGGGGAAGGAAACTGCTAACGGAAGCCTTCCTATCCAAAACCCAAGCGGAATGGTCGCAGATCTTTGAGGATATAGATGCTTGTGTCTATCCCGTGCTGGATTACCGGGAGGTTCACAAACATGGTCACAATAAGGACAGGAACTCGTTCGAGATTATTGATGATTCGCCTGCTCCACGTCCAGCTCCACTGCTAAGTAGAACTCCTGGAAAGTTGCCCAAGGCAACTGATAATAAACAGCTGGAACTGATAGACGAATTGGATCTTGAGCCCCAGGAATTGAAGGACTTGCTGGACTCGGGAGTACTTACACTTCCAGAAAAAGCCAAACTATAGTACTTAAAACTGCAATTTAAGAAGCCTTCCCAATTAAAACAAGTTTATTTTTGTTGCTCTTGCATTCAAAATTCTTTTATTCAGGCTCTTGCACACAGACTCATATTACATTTGCTAAAATTTCGCGTACAAACTATCAGTCATACAATTTGCTTCCGAACAGTTAGGCCGCACTTTGATATTCAGAGGGGGTGTTTCTTTCTTAATAATTGATAATACAGCATACTATATAACGTAACATAATTGATTCTCTCCTATCGCAATCGTGGGTCAAATGTTCTCTCGCGCATCCCTACTTACTGACTAAATTAGGATTAACTAGCATACCGAGTAGCCCATATACTAGATTTAATTCGGCTAAAGCACCGCGCGTCAGCGTTACCAATTGTCAGTGTATATATTTAAGATAATCCATTATAATGCCCCATATGTACGTTGTTTGTAATGTGGATGTAAATTTCACTAGTTGGCGTTTCGTATGTAGTAGTATTGTTCTAGTGTACGTTGTGTATAGTCCCGCGTAAAGTAATCCTTGTGAGTCCTTAAGTAAGTTGTAGGTTGTGTTGTTGGTAGGTATGTATGTATATATAGTAAGTCTCAGTTCTCAGTATAAAATCAGTACCATATGTTACGTTTTTAATTTGTTTTTAGTTCACACTTGCAATTGTGCATTTGTTTGTAATCCTTTAAATGTTTACAAAAAAATACCATTTCTCTGCTGCGCGGGGTGCTTTTTCTTACATTACAGATATCATAAATATCCACACACAACGCACTCATACAACACACTCCATACAGATGATCGAATCACAGGCATAGTTGTTATAGTCGCATTTTTATTTAATTTATTTTGTAGCTTAGATATCAGACGACGTCCATTCGCACACAAGGCAAGGGTTAAAAGGCAAGCCCATTGAAGACCCTTTAGTTCGCACGATGGATTGGCCAAAAAGTGGGTCCACCATGCATTTTATTGAGGCTTGCTTTTCAACCATTTGCCATATTATACTGGCTTATTCTAGTGACATGAAATCATTTCTTAACAGCTAGATGTAACAAACTCAATAGTCCCTCAATTTTAATGATTTTTGTTATATTTTTTTGGAATGGTTACATACAAATTTACTCAGTCACAGTTTTCACGCACTCCTACTGTTTATAAAAGTGGGAAGTGTAAGTATGTATAAAAGGTAGAAATTTGTGCTAAATGATCTGAGTGACGAGTATTAGTTTGTTGGTGATTTCTTCTAGATATACTCCTGCCCATCATCAGTCACTCTCATAAACAACCATTGACAATCATCACATAATTCATCATCATCATTCAATGCACCAGTGTCATCATCTTAATAATCAGCACCAGGCATCATACTCAATCAACACACCTGTGAAAAAAGGTTGAGAAATGTGATTATTAGCAACTATTATGATTATTTTAATACTTCTAAATAAGCTAACTTATAATGGTAGATTGAATTAAAAAAATTCAAGGCATCACTTACATTTTGAATACCACAGCCATAAACGTTCATGTTCCTCTTGGCGTTGCTCAGCTTTCGATCTTCCAACGATTCAGAGTCATTCATCTTTATCATCCGCATACGGTCATTCATAGCTAATATTAGTGTTTATCTAGTTAATTTTGGCAATTTCGTGTGTCCTTTAGGGGTGCTTTTACGTAAGTTGTCATTTCAAAATTCAAAATTTTGATATGTTCAAATCTGATAAAACAATCGTTAATTTCTCTTTAAATAGTTTCTTCTTTCTGTTGGACGGCTGTGCGATATTTTATTGCAAAACGAGACAGATATTACCAATGAAAGATTTTTATTTTTGAAATGACAACTTCTCGAGCCTAAGAATTCATTGAAAAAAGTTCAAAATCGGTTGGTTTTTAAGCTTTGTTAAACAAATTCTCGTTCTGGTTTACAATTTGGAAATCTGTGTATAGTATTCGTATTATATGTGCGCTTATATCTACAGTAGTTCACAATAGTTCACTTCATTCCAGTATTCACTTGTTCTTAGTGTATTTAAATGTTGTGAAAAGATTTTAAACGGTTAGTTTCGACTTTATTTTAATCCCCTATTTACTTTTCATCGTTCACAGTCGCGTCTTTTTCGTAAGGTAGTTTCTGGTTATGTTTTTTTGTATGGTTTGTATATGATAAAGTAACTAAATGAAGTATGTGTCGTTGTTTTGTCCTATCAAGCTGTCATGTAAGTGTCTTTATGCGCGTTCTATATTTCTATGTAAATTATGAACTTCAAGGGTTCCAGAAACATTTGTAGCGATTTCAAATCTGTTAAATATATACTTTCAATACATTTGGTCGAGATTTCAAGTTACTAGAGATATTTCTAGAACACTTGTGGTTTATTTTGTATTTTTTGTTGTATACCCTGGTCCGTTGCGTATTTAGTTTTAGTATCTTGCGTTTACCTAATATATATATTAATTACACATGTGTTTTGTGTGCTGCAGGTAGTTGCTTGGTTGTTGTTTTGCTGTTTTTGCATGTTTCTCGTTGCTATTTTCCCCGTTTTCATTTAAATAAAAAATAAAATAAGAGAGGCAAAATAAAGCGTCATTGGTGGAATTGATAAGAGCACTCTAAATCGTATACATAAAAAATAAAATAATTTCATAATTTCGTGCTTTTGTGGGCTTCGAGTGTGGCTGGTCTAAAATATTGATTTCTATTCTGGATTTTGTTTGCTGTTTTATCTGGTTTAGTGCATGTTTTTGTTGAAGATGGTTTTTTGAAACAGCCACGCCCGCGCCTTTGTACGTCCCTAAGTCATTTCGTAATTCGTTTTTTAGTTGCTAGGTTGGTTTTTTTCAGTCGTCTTTGAGTTTTTCACATTTAGTTTCGTTTCGTTTGCTTGTAAATTTAAATTCAAATCCGTTTAAAATCTTTTTGATTTGCTGTTTTGCTTACATCTAAAAACATTCGTTTCGTTTCACTAGAAAAGTTCGTACTCTTAATTCATAATATCACACAACACGCCGATGCACACGCGCGCCAAAGAAAAAGGACATATTCATCCAGTTTCATACATTTTCGTGGGGTTTTCTCAATCACAAAATACCATTTACAGAGTTTCTCACAAGCATTCATCATCACAGCATAACTATTGGCATAGGGGGTAAAATTGTCGGACAACAGGCACGCAAAACTTTTATTTATCAGATAATACATACTCGCTCTCAGCCATATGTTTCACTCCATCACATTCGGTTCACACTCAAGACATTCATTCTTGTTTTATATATTTTTTGTTGGGCTAGTGAGGGTGTAGTAGGATAGATACATTAATTCTTATAAACTAAGGTGTGGTTCTTACAGCCGCTACTAGTTAATGTTTCCAAAGGGGTGCAATGCATTTAATGTGTTTTACTTGTTAACGCAATAGTTTACTACCGATTTTTACAAATAAATTTAAATTTTACATAATTTTGTATAACAGCTTTCGATAGGTTTTTGGTTAAGCTTAAAATCGGGCTTCTAAATCGCCGGATTTCGGGGCAATACCAAAACAAGGCTGCCCTTAAAGCCGTTTTCTTATAAGTGTCATAATAACATGCAGCGATAATTATAAATTTTGTGTTTTAGTCAATGGGCAGCCTGATTTTGGATTTGCATTACCGAGCGAGGACAATGGAAAAGGGGTAAATAAACTCACACGATGATTAACAGGCCTTAATTAAGATATTAGGTCGAAACAGAGGTTCGGTTTGAGCTTACAGCTAGTGGGGTTTTATAAACAATTTGTCTTAGCATTTACTAGTTGCACAGCAACAATATATCGGACAAACAAACTTAGCAGATAGAATCTTGTAATCAGAGAATTCGGACTGGACTGCAAAAATAGAGAAATGTGGGAAAATGAAAATCAAAACATATGTACGAAACAATCATTAGAAAGGATGAGTCGATTTTCGATGAGACATCTATGCGAAATCTTAAAAAAGTTTATGTTTTTATCTGTCACGTTTCTTTGAAAGTGCCTTTCTGAATATTGCATTTTAATAACCTTTTAAGGTTGTATTTTAATTTTCTCTTACAAAGTAAGATCAAAAATATTTCCAATAAAAGTTATCCAAAAATCGACTCATCCAAATGAGCCATTCATTCGCTGATAAAATACAGAAATGGAATTCCATGTACTCACCAGTTTGGCTGCATTACATACAATCTTGAGGGTCTGGTGGGAAGCAGGGAAACATTAACCTTTAGCAGGCAATCTACTGCGTGATGACCTGGCTATTGATCTTCTTGATCTCCTTGACAGCCCAGGTGCACAGCATCTTGGTGCGCTGCCCTTTGGAGCGCTTGCCCTCGGCGAGGAAGTGGGTAATGATGGCATCGTCCAGCAGCGGGTAAAGACGCGGTCCGAAGGAGGTGCACAGATCGCCGATGAAACCGGCAGCACTGGCCATCATCGAATCGGACACGTCACCCTCCTGGGCGATGCGCTTAATGAAGGAAATGATGTGAATAAGGTGGGGCTCCATGTGCATCACGTCGGGATGAGCCGTCTGGTCCAGGCCCTTAAGGCCCTGGATGATGCCAGTGTAGGCCTCCAAGACACTCTCACGCAGCTCGTTGATGTATTCGTTCATATCGAAGTTGTTGGCGTCCGTCTAGAGAAAATACAACTAATGTTTTAAATTTAATAGAAACGGCATACACGTACCTGAAGATTGGACGCAGCACGCAGCATTTCTAGGACCACGCTCAGATATTTCAGGAAGTGGTTGCCAATGCTCAAAGCTATGTCCCCGAAAGCGGACAGGATCTGAGGCTTGACGCTGCGATGTAGACTCGGTTCGGCCAGGTTGTTCATCAATACGGACATTATCTCGTCGGAGTAGGGCACCATGTGGTCCTTAAGGGCGCGGAAAATGTCGCCGGTGAGACCGACCGAAGCGCAGCAGACCTGGTACTCCTGGTGATTCTTCAATCCCATAACGAGGAAGTCCTTGAAAGCGGGCATGTACTTGGCGAACTGCCCTCCCAGAAGTTCAACCAGTGTGGAAACTGCCAGGAAGGCATCCTCCTGCACACCACCCGACTTTCCAGCGCTCGAGTTAAACATTGTCAGCAGGGCGGTCATGATGGCATCAGAGATTTGAGGGGCATCCTGTTCATGGACCTTTCTCAAAACACTTTGCAGAGTGGCGCACAAGAGAGATTGCAGATCGTTGAACTGATGCCGATCGCTGTGGTTGTTAATCTGTGTCTCCATCTGCATCACCTGGTTCAAACGCTCTAAAATCACCAGAGTGGTGCGCTGCACCACCAAATAGCAGTCCAGGGGCGAGTTCTTAATCATATCCATGAGTGCTTCATAGGCAGCTCCCCGCAAATTGGCCTGGGCTCCATCCGATCGATCGGTTGTCTCCAGCAACTGGGTGATAATGTACTCAAAGTACGGCGACAGGGCATAGGTCTCCGGGGTCTCGCCCTCGGTGGTGACCGCTGCCTCGTAGGCGGCATCTGAAAGACCGATGAAGGCCCAGCACACATTGGCAGCCACCCGTGGCTCCGACTTTAAGCTCTTCACGAAGCACTCCAGCAAAGTCTGGAGATAGGTCTTGTTGATAGCAGCCTCGGGAATGATCTACAGGAGAAAAACAAAACAAAGTCATTAATATTACGCTATAGTGGGTACTCCCTATAATAATTCCCGCCTACTCACATCGCAGATTCGACCGAAAGTCCAGGCGGTGGTGTCGCGCACAATAACGCTCGAATCGTACATCAGCCGGATGAGCGTGGGCATGGCCTGTTCCACGAGCGGCTTCAGAGTGTTGGTCTCCAATCCATTCAGCACTGAGCCAAAGGTCATTACAGCGGCATCACGGAATCGCCAATTGGGTGACTCGATGTTCTCCTTAATGAAGGGCAACACATGTGGCACGATCTCATCCTCGCAACAGGTGGCCAGCACCATGAGGCAGACGGAGGAGGCCTTTGCCGGGCTCCAGGTGTCCTCGTCGTCACACTCGTCCTGCTTGGTCAGCTTCTCGACGAGCACGGGCGTCAGGAACTGCAGAGCTCCACGGGCATAGTGTTTGGATACCCGCTGCGGAGCCCTGCCTTGATCGGTGGCCTCCTGACTCTCGATGGCCAGATCGATCTCCTCGTCACAGACGTTCGACCAGAACTCTATGCCCTGCAGAGCCACGGCATCGTTTTCCGCCTTCATAGCTGCCAAAGTGATCGGGAAGAGAGCCTGTGCCATGTACGGCTCCATGAACTGGTAGTATAGGGTCATAACCTTCACCAGACACTGGAGAGCGGCCACACAGATTTGCGAGTCCTGGCACTGAGTGGCCTCGCACACCACCTCCATGATGAAGTTGCGCTCCATGTCCTTCTCAAAGTTCGACTTGGTGAACTCAAGCGAGTTGTGAAGTGCCGTGGTAGCCGCCAAGCGAACATGATTGCTCGGCTCGACCTTCCTCATGCCGTGGATAATAGCAGTAAGCACATCGTTGGACTGGTTCTCCAGAACGCCGAAGCGAATGTCCTGGCAGATGTAGCCAATTGCCTCCAAAGCCGCCTCGCGATGCATCTCGCTGGATCCTTCGCTGACCACCTTGTTAACCAGTGTCTGGATGAGCATTGCCCAGCGGTTCATTGGAAGCTCAATCACGGCCACATAGGCTACGCACTGGGCAGCGCAAGAGGGTCGCGTGTTTTCGGTACCCAAAGCTGCCAGGATCTGCACGGATATCATGGTTTAGAACTTATTAAGCTTGGAAATTGCAAGTTTAACTCACGTTGTTCTTGATCAACTCGCGGATTTCGCTAGGAAATTGGTGCCAGCGCTCCTGGTACTGTTGGCTGATCTTCTCATCCTTGCTGGTCAGGTGGTTCTTCAGCTGGAGTCCGGCTGCCATTCGTGCCACCGCGCTGTTTGTCGTGTTCACCAGGATCTCCGACAGCGCCTTGAGAAATTCGGGCAGATTGCTGGCCGCCGCCTGCTCAAGGAAGTTCTTCGCCGATAGCAATTCATTTTTATCTGAAAATGTGTAATTAGTTAGTAAAAAAAATCGTTTTAAACTATGTATAGGTATAAGAAAAAATCCAACAGGTTACTAGAAAACACTTTCGTATATGAATTACAAAAATCCTATTATTATCTGAAGACTATCTTTAATATAAAGAGTAATATTTAAAAATAGGGATTATAATAACTATATTCATTTGCAATTTCCATTAATTTTGATTCTATGTATAGAGCATAATAGATTTGGTGTTATATCATAAAGGGGCATTTATTTTACAAAGTCAAGAAGGGTGCACAAAATAGTCATTTTGACGAAGGATTATAAGAAAGTATTGAATCAACATATAAATATTACAAATTGCGTGAATACCAAGGCGGTTACTTTTTAAAAAGCAAAGCAATGAAGACTAGTTTCCTTTGTTTTCCGGCGTCGAAATGTTATCTTGACGCTCGGCATGAAGTTCGCAGACCATCTTTATCGGCAACCGGAAGAACTGGTCGCCAAACATACGATGATGACTCCGAAACGACGCCTCATTGATCCCTAGCGTTTGTGAGGTTATGTCGTGGAAGCGGTTTATAAATCCTTAATTGTAGGAGCGCACTTATGGCGAATACATATCGACACGCTGCTACGGGGAATACGAGTATGTACAGATGCACATGTGTGCGAAGGCCCCTAGCAACCAAACATATGCGAGAGCCTATTGCAACCCTGCGCAACATATAACGCGCGTCCCTCCCGCGAAAAAAAAAAACCGAGACCGAGAGACCCTGGGAGGGAGTACTACGTTTTATAGATCCATATATTGGTATAACTCACCTGGCGACACCGTCTTCTCCAAAATGGCAATCAGTTGCATGGCGATATCGGAAGTCATTTTTGCGCTCTTTTTTTTTTCCTTCTCTATGTATTTTACTTCACTTTCCGTTTCTTTTTGCAGCTCGTGCGTCTGTGCGAGTGTGTGGGTGATGGAATTTTTGCGTAATTATTAGACAATACTAGTCTACCGGCTGTAATGGGTTAAGACAAAGGAATTCAGGTTTAATATCTATTAGTCCACCGAAATCAGCGATTTTTCTTTTGACAGGTTGCAACACCTTGAACGTCACAAGAATTGATTTTTTCGGGCACACACTCACGCGCACCTATGTATGTACAATGAAACTCCACATTCTACTCACGTTTGGTTGTTGCTGGTTTCTCTGGAACGGTAAAAAAGCGCGGGATTCCAAACGGTGATTTACTTAGTTATATTTATTTTAAGGTTCAAGCTCACAATTCCTATTTATTTCCTTTTCGGGGGAGGGCAATATATTTCTTGTGGCTGCAATTTGAAGTAGAGCTGAAACTAACATCGATGTTTCCAGAAATCGATTGCGATGGTCATAAAGCAATTATCGATTGATATTTGCTCAACTGACGAAATAAATTTGAAATAAATAAATGGATATCACATTTAAAAGATTAAAAATATGTTCACAAAAGCAATATAATATCTTCTGTCACATAGGTGCAGAAAAATGAACAAAACTGAACAACTTGTATTTTAAAAAGTATTCGCTTGCCTTTAAATCTGGACGTTAGGTTTGAATTTTACGATTTATCGAAAAATTTGTAACCGAGAACACGATCAAAGCACAATGATATACTAGAAAATTTGACGCGCTAGTCTAGGAAAAGATGATACAAAGAATTTAAAATTTATGTTTTTGTCAATATTTTAGTGTTTGAAAAGTAATATTTATAACGTTTATTGTTTTATTTTTAGAGGTACTCGGCCCTGGTTCAGAGCTACCACCTTTCCATAAGTCAGTTGGCAGCCCCCTCAGCTGGACTAGGTGGCAACCCTGTTACAGTGCTGACGTTCGGCAAAAAAAGAGGAAACGTAGTAAAAACACTCGAGAAACTGGGTATATTCCGATAAATAATCAGCTAGAACGGTTTGTGCGACTCCCGCCGATCCGGAGAGAGTGGGAGTGTGTCGCTGACACGGCCACGTTGTAGATTCAACCCAAGAAAACCCAAGAGGGCTACAACTCCTGCCGTTCGTTGGCTGCAAATTCAAGATGATCCTGCTTTCCGGACTTCTGCCGCTCCTGGGCGTCGTCCTCTTGCACCTGGTGACCCCGACACAGGCGTTCTATCTGCCCGGATTGGCGCCGGTTAATTTCTGCAAGAAAACCGATGTCTCCTCCACATGCAAGGTATGTATGTTTGCGCATATGTACGTGTGTACATGCATAGTGGGTGTGTTTGCCAGTACGCCCGCAACAATTAGCAATGGAAGTGGATGTAGTGATTTCTAATGTGTTGTATTCCTCAAATGGCGGTCAGAAACGGAAGCGTTGATAAGGCCTGTTTCTGGGTATACGTATACGTCGGGTCCATATGTGGGGTCCATATCTGTACTTCTGCTGACGTTGACTAGGCTAAACACACTTCCAAGAACAAAATTAGAATTCTAATGTTGGTTCAGGTGGAAGTCGAATGCAAGTTGAATGATCATGGACCGATCTTAACTAATGACGCACAGCCGACCTTATTGACTTATATAAAACATGTATTACATATTTCAGAGGCCTATAAAGCTATATTATGTTCGTACATATACATACATATATGAGAACTGTCTTATCATTTATCTTTTGTTTTTAGTAAAGCATTTTCTATTTATATTTCAATTTCTAAGGAAACGTTATAATGGTTAAAAATAAACTAGCGCCCGTTGCATTGTTCTAACATAGCATAACGCATTAGATTACACTCTGATGAATCACAACTGATAATTCTATGTTTTATCACATATAAAATCAGCTATAACCCTTTTTAGTTGATTAATTTTTCCCGCTTAACCCATTTCAATGTATGTATTTACATATGTTTTGGTTTAACAAAACTTTAGGTGTCTATATTTTGTGTAGATATCCCTAATATGGTAGAAATAAGGAATCAAAAGAGCATGTTAATTAAACTTTAATTTAAGGAGGTAGATAAGCCTTATCGTTTTATACGCCCTTTACTTCTTACTGATAAAAATAAATTGAGGTGTTTCACTTTAATTATTTTTAACTACCAAAAAACTTCGTGATAAGATGAATTTTATAGAACCCTATCGCAGGTTCGCATGGAAAGAAGAAAATTGGAGTGTGAACGCATTATCCAAGTGTTACTTAAGAATTCAGTGACACTTTATAGAATAATAAAACCCACGATAAGATTAAAATTAACCTAAATTTTCCAATAATTGATATATTTATTGATTATCTTTTGCAGTCTGAAATCCTGTTGTATGTGAACCGATTGAACACTGAGGAATCGGTTATACCCTATGAGTACCATCACTTCGACTTTTGTTTGGGCGAGGAGCAAAACTCTCCGGTTGAGAATTTGGGACAGGTGGTGTTCGGAGAGCGAATTCGCCCTGGACCGTATAAAATTCAGTTTCTGGAAAATCAGCAATGTGCAAAGGTACGAATCAAAACTTTTGTTAAGTAACTCATTTTTAATATTTTTTATTTTATTTAGACCTGTGTCAAGACATACAAGGGTGATGATCCACTTAGCAACCGCCGTATGATGGTCCTCAAGAAGGGTATCAGCCTAAATTACCAACACCACTGGATTGTAGACAACATGCCTGTGACCTGGTGTTATCCATTGGAGAATGGCAAGCAATACTGCGGAATCGGATTCCCCATGGGCTGTCTTGTTCGCAGCGATGGCGAAGGCTGTCCCATTAACTCCATATACAACCAGCCCATGCATTATTATCCCTTCAACCATGTGGATCTTGAGATCACCTATCACAGCGGACAATCGGAGGACTGGGGAATTCAGTTCGGCAACAGTGGACGCATTATCTCTGTAAAAGTTACACCCAAATCGATCAAGCACACAGATCCTGAAAACCCGAACTGCTTGAGCACTGAACCGCTGGCTATCAGTGAGAATTCCCTGAAGGCTGGAGAGCAGCTCAACATCGTGTACACGTATAGTGTTAAATTTGTGAAGAACGATGCCATAAAATGGTCGTCCCGTTGGGACTACATTCTGGAATCCATGCCGCACACGAATATCCAATGGTTTTCCATTCTCAACTCCCTGGTGATTGTTCTCTTCTTGAGTGGCATGGTTGCCATGATCATGCTGCGCACTCTGCACAAGGACATTGCCCGCTATAACCAGATGGATAGCGGCGAGGATGCCCAGGAGGAGTTTGGCTGGAAGCTGGTCCATGGAGATGTGTTCAGGCCACCGCGCAAGGGCATGCTGTTGTCGGTTTTCCTGGGTTCTGGTGTGCAGGTGTTGGTTATGTCCATGATCACCTTGGCCTTTGCCTGCCTGGGTTTCTTGTCGCCAGCAAATCGCGGAGCTTTGATGACCTGTTCCATGGTCTTGTTCGTTTCATTGGGAACTCCGGCTGGTTACGTGTCTGCGCGAATTTACAAGAGTTTCGGCGGCCTGAAATGGAAGAGTAATGTAATCCTTACCTCAATCGTTTGCCCTGGGTAAGTTTTTCCTTTAAAACTATCAATTAACGGTAAAATTTTTCTCATAAATATGTTTTTTATTTTTAGTGTGGTCTTTTCACTGTTCTTTGTAATGAACCTGGTGCTTTGGGGCGAGAGTAGCTCCGGAGCTGTGCCATTTAGCACGCTGATTGCCCTACTGGCCTTGTGGTTTGGCGTCTCAGTGCCGCTGACCTTTGTTGGGGCATACTTTGGGTTCCGTAAGCGCGTAAGTATATTTTTTCTCTAATTAAGGCACAGCGTTTAACTTAGTTGCTTTTATTTCTAGGCCCTGGAGCACCCAGTGCGTACCAACCAGATTCCCCGTCAGATTCCCGACCAATCGATCTACACTCAACCTATTCCTGGCATCGTTATGGGCGGCGTTCTGCCCTTTGGCTGCATTTTCATTCAGCTGTTCTTTATCCTGAGTTCCCTGTGGTCCAGCCAGATCTACTACATGTTCGGCTTTCTGTTCCTGGTCTTTGTCATCCTGGTTATCACGTGCTCGGAGACAACCATACTGCTGTGCTACTTCCACTTGTGTGCAGAAGACTATCACTGGTGGTGGCGCTCCTTCTTAACCTCCGGTTTCACTGCTGTCTACTTGTTCATCTACTGCTGCCATTACTTTGTGACGAAGCTCTCGATTAAGGACAGTGCCTCGACTTTCCTGTATTTTGGATACACGGCTATCATGGTATTCCTGTTTTTCTTGCTGACCGGTACTATTGGGTTCTTCGCGTGCTTCTGGTTCATACGCAAGATCTACAGTGTGGTCAAGGTGGATTAAACAGCAAAAATTCGATTAGAAGGAGCCCGTGCGAATGTATTTTTGTATGTGTAGCCACAAATTTACACTTAAGCCTAATGTGTGTGTGATTTCTGCGCTGTGCGCCCTGCACAGACAGTTTTCTGTTTATTATAATTACGATTGATATGTGTACAATAACATATATTTGTATCAGGCAAAAACCGTGGAGAAACGAAGCGCGCAATAATCTTTAAGCAGTAAACAGCAAACGAGTTGGAGTTAAAGTGACTTGAAGTATCTTTTGTATAGTTCACCGTTCTGTTAATCTTTAGGCGTAAAGTTTAGCAATGTCCATTTCCCAGCTCTAGCAACGATTCCAAAAACAAGAAAAGAAAAATTAAAAGCCCTCAAAAAGTACTGATCCCCAAAACGAAGTACTTTAAAAACCCGTTCTCTACTTGTAATATCAAAGCCTAACAACTGTAATTAGTGGCTCGTCTTAGCCGTAATTCGAGCAGGATTGAATTCACGTGTAATATTTTAAATACTTTAGTTTAAACTATTTAAATCTAACTTGCGACTAAAGAATAAACAAAACTATAAATTATGAAATGGCGCCCTCTGTGGAACACTATTTACTATCCGTAGAACTAGCTCTTTCTTTCAACCCTAGCCAACTGACAGTTGTCAGATCTTTCTATGGCTTCCGCGACCTGGCGAAACCAGGCAGTGCGAATAAACATTTTCAGCTCAGAGTTTGTCGAGCGGCGCATCCATGTCAGATATTGTGGATAGCGATGGGGACGAATACGATGAACTGTCGGAGCTGCGACAACGCCATAAGCCAGAGTCTCAGCCCTCGGTGGATGTGCGTATCTGTGAGCTGTAATCCCTGACCATATCCTAGCTTCTAGTTCGTTTTCCAGGAGGCCTTCGATCTCGACGACCTACTGCCCACCATCGGAGAGTTTGGGAAATACCAAAAGCTCTTGGTCTTTGGCATTTGCCTGCCCGCCTGCATTCCGTGCGGTTTCTGTGCCTTTAACCAGTTATTTATGGCTGATACTCCGGATGACTATTGGTGTCGCATCCCGGAGCTACTTGACCTGCCGCTGGAGCAGCGAAAATCGCTGGCCATACCCCAGGAAGTGGTGAGTAATGGCAGCCATATGAGTGCAATCAAGTCGGCCCATTGATTGTGCGTTGTCGTAGGTTAAGGGTCGATACGAGGGTGGTTAGATGAGTAATCATCGGGGCTAATGGGAAACAAACAGATGTCTTTTAAGTGGCTTTTTAGTAGGTCTAATTAAATATTTAATAGGCTTACTTTTCTATTTATATTTTTTTAAATCACAAACTAATGTACTGCCTTTGCCATTTCTTTTAAGGATAATGACGAACTGGTCTACAGCAAATGTTATACTTACGGTGTCAACTGGACGGAAATACTTGACTCAATGGAGGAGGATGACTTGACCACCTTGGAAACGAACAGCAGTTGGCCATTGGTCAAGTGCAGTCAGGGATGGGAGTACAACACGAGCGTCGTCTGGTCTTCCATTGTGATCGATGTGCGCAGTCCAGAGAACATTACGCGTTCATATCAAATCATATAATCCTTCATCTAGGATATGCTCGAATCATTTCCCAAGCATAATGTACTCTTCTCAGCAAGGAGTTACATATTGGCGAACTAAAATATTATTATGTAATCAATTTTCAGTTTGATTTAGTGTGCGATCAGGATATATATCCAACTATAGGGCTGGCTGCCCTCAACACTGGCGGTCCCGTGGGCGTTTATCTCTTTGGATTACTTAATGATCGTGCAGGACGGAGGCTTTCGTACTTCATCTGCCTGGCGACTTTGCTGGCTGGAAGTTTGATGACTTCACTGAGCAAGGATTTCTGGACTTGGGCAGGCAGTCGAGTCATTGTGGGATTGACAATTCCAGCTGTCTATCAGATACCATTTATAATATGTAAGTAGAGGGCTTACAAGTTGTACATTCCTTTAACTTTTTCTTTCGACTTTGCAGCTTTGGAGTTGGTAGGTGAGAACTATCGATCCTTTGTGACCGTGATGACATGTACTTTTTACACGTCGGGCATCATGCTACTGTCCGCTGTTACCTACCTGGAAAGGGATTGGGTGCGTCTGTCCTATATCACCTCCCTGCCCTTTTACGCCTATTTCCTGTACATGTTCGTAATGCCGGAATCACCGCGATGGCTTTTGATGCGCGGCCGCCTGGAGGAAGCTCTCAAGATTCTGGAGCGCATGGCCATGGTAAATGGCAGACAGTTTCCGGAGGCTGTGCATCTCAAGTTGGAGGCCCAAATACGTCGGGATAAACTAAAGAAGCAAAAGAAGAAGATAGCCAATGTGGGACTAATGGATCTGTGTCGTACACCCAATATGCGCTTGAAGACCATACTGATCACTCTAAGTTGGTTTGCCAATGAGACGGTTTATCTGGGTCTTAGTTACTACGGACCATCGCTGGGCACCAATCAGTATGTGAGCTTCTTTTTGTCGGCCGTTGTGGAGTTGCCAAGTTACTTGTGCTGCTGGTACTTCATGGATACCTGGGGCAGAAGATGGCCCTTAAGTTTGTCCATGATATTGGGGTAATTAGCATTGGATGTATTATGCTTATAATATTTAAAACTATCAATCCTTTTTCAGAGGAGTGGCTTGTGTGATTACTGTTATGCTGCCCGATGATGCCGTGGATGAGACTCTTGTGCTGTACTTAATATCTAAGGCCTTGCTGTCCGCCTCCTTCCTTATAATTTATCCCTTTGCCGGGGAACTATATCCCACTCAAGTTCGCGGCATTGGCATTGGTGCTTCTAGTTATATCGGAGGTCTGGGTCTCATTGTCATACCATTTGTTACCTACTTGGGAAAAGACAATCTTAAGCTGCCTTTGGTTATTATGGGCTTTGTTTCGATGCTGGGCGGCATGACAGGATTGCGGTTGCCGGAGACACTGCATCATCGATTGCCTCAGACCATCGAGGAGGGCGAGGAGTTCGGCAAGAACTGGCAGTTCAAGGATTGCTGCAGTTGCGCTCAAAAGCCGTATGTTTATTATAGAAAATGTATTTAATATATGCATGATTTAAATATTTTCTATCAACTCTCCAGGGATGTCTTGTCCCAACCACCATCGTACGAAAACCTAGATGTCCTGGCTGGTTCCTCCAACAATGCTTCTGAGGTGGAGCTGGAGCTAAGAGACAGTCGACGGGTTAGGGAGCCGGCTCCGAGGATTGATGAACGCACACCCCTGGACACCACGTCCAGTGGGAGTGGAAATGTTCGACCTGTCCATCGGCCTTCAATGAAGCGGTTAGTGCGGCAAATGAGCATCATGGACACCCAAAGGACAAATGATGGCACCATGCAATTGACACATTGGATCTAGCTTTTTGGACAGACGATATATCGTCTGTATATATACATTTACATAGCTTTAGACATAATCTTGTCGAATTTAAAGACAAAGTTTGGAATCACATTTTCGAATTAATATTGTTAAGTCTCTAAATCAATTTTTTTTTGTTTAAACAGTAGGTTACACATTGTTTAAGAAGTATCAAAATATATTTTATAGAAGAACATAACGTTAATAAGTTAAATTAACACGTATTTTCATTAAATTAAAAAAACAGAATAACATAGAATGTTAAATAATTTTTTAGCACAATGATAGCAATTGCCCTCGAATGTGTTTAATATCTTAATAATAATATTCATACACACATTGCAGCATTATTAAATTGAATTTATATTATATAGTTTTAATAGGTGTTATGATATACTTATTTATTAAGGCTTAAGTAAACGTTTGTTAAATGGATTCCGTATTATATTAATGTTCCTCAAATTAGTGCAGCCTAATGTTTACTGCTTTAAAATCATATCTATAACAATTTCCCCGTCTAAATATCAATATTGTTTTCCTTTTCTTTAATTGTAGGGCATTACCATTATGTCTAAGTTGTTGACTTGAACAATAAACAATGCGAGTGACAAAAGGTACCCATATAAAAAACCGAAACTTAATTCTTCAAACATATCCGGTAAAAATAAATAAATAAATAAGCACGTATAGCATATACATAGCATTTGGCGACTTCTCAATCGCAGCAATTGATTTATTCAGTTATTCAGGCAATTATGCAATTAATTGTTGTCAAACAAAAAGAAAACTTGTTTATACGGTGAATAATGGAGGAATGCGCGAAATTGCCCGCAGCTGTCGGCCGTAAACTGCTGGCGGTCACTGTCAGCCTTAGGAAGTGCCTGGACCCATGGGAATTATTTTATACTGGGGTTCAGGGATACGTAATACTCAAGGAAATCTTTGGCTATTATCTGATATACCAGAAGCCAGAATATATATTATTTCCCAAAATTATAAACCTTATTACAGATCTATAAAATAGAACTGTAACAAAGTTGGGTAGTTTCCTAATGATTCAACTATTTCCTGAAAATGAAAGAATTCTGTAAATTTTAAAAACAAGTTAACTTGATTTCCTCATTTTTCCATCACACTACCAGACAGTGTCAAAAATGATTTAAACCAAATTTCGGTAAAAGCAACTTAAACTTAAAAAATGCCCAAAACAAAAGCGCAACCAAGAATAGTGAAATCTACGGCTCCTGCTCGTGTTATCAGGCCGGTTTGTGCTCGTAAAGCTGCTCCTCCAGCATTGCCGCCATGCAGGACCACTTTGTTGGATCTGCCGGAGGATATTATCCGAATGGTTCTGGAATTCCTGCCCAAAACTACGGATAAGGTCCTGCTGGCCTCTGTGGCACCTAAGTTTCGAATGGCCTTCGATGGTTGGGCGAGGGCACAGCGAATCACCCTGGATATCGACTGTTTGGAAACGATGCCACTGCCGCAAATGATAAGATTCTTCAAGATAGCTGGACCTTTTATAAGAGTCCTTCTAGTGGACTGTGCTTCCTTTCAGAAGGAATCCCTGGTAGTGGAGTTCGTGACGGAATACTGTCGGAATCTGGAGGAGATCAGTTACACCAATGCCACCGTTGAGTTTCACTACCGCACCATCATGTCTAATATGACGCACTTGAAACGGGTTTCTATTGAATGCCTGGACGCGGAGGATGAGCTTAACTTTGATCTGCAGTCCAACCAGGAGCTGGAGTCCTTCGAACTGGTGAATGGTTGCTATTCGGGTGGGTGTTATCTATTATATTTTTATTTCTGATATCTAATATTATATTTAATCCAAAGGCCAAAACCTCTGTGGTTTTCCCAATCTTAAGACCTTGATCCTTCGAGATTGCCTATTGTGGAACTCGGTGGACTTTGGAATACCCTTGAAATCTTTGCATACATTAGACCTCGACGACTGTTGTTTCGAGGTGATGAATTCGAGCCTGTACCAAAAGATAGCCGAGACCTGCACGGACTTGGTGGAGCTCTTTTTTTCCGGCTGTGATACCAACTTCGAGGCGATCGCCCAGCTGCCCAAACTGGAGCGATGCACCCTGAAAACCTGGATGACCTCCAATGAGCTGAATATTGGGTTCCTAACAGTTTTGGCCGAGAGCAAGGGCAACAAACTGACCCATCTGCATTTATCTGGACAGTTTCAGATCACCAATGAGCATGCCCGGTGTTTGGGTCAGTTGAGTAGCCTCAAGGATCTGCGGTTCAGCAACAACGATTTCCTGGAGGATGATCATTTCAAGTTCTTCAACGATCTCAATCAGCTAGAGCGATTTGGTTTGACCTGGTGTGGTCAAGTGATGGACATAGGAATGATGAGGATGGTACGAAAGTGTCTGCAATTGAATACTATTGATTTGAGCGATTGCGCGGAGATAACCAATGAGTTTGTAATCAACGCGGTTGGATGCTGCTCTAAGGGAACCGCTCGGAACATGGTGATCAATGTGAAGGGAACCAAAATCGACCAGGGTATCTTAGTGGTATGTTTTGATTGGGTAACAACTTTGCAGATCCTATCTTGAAAATTTGTATATTTCTTAGCATCCGGATTACGTAGATCCCTTCAATCGTGTCAAGGTCAATTTTGTTTGAAATGAGAGATAGCTTGCTTAAGGAATTATAATTGATTTTTTACACTAATTAAATGGTAGAAATACCTATAAGATACCTTAAAGGATACAGAAAATGGAAGAAAATCTAATGAAATAAAAATAATATATTTTAAATGTATGTATATCCTAAGGCATTTTAGAAAGTTACTTTGGCTTAACTTTCTGAATCAGACCTTTTAACCCAATAAATTGTTCCATTACTCTTATTTTTGGACAACTAAGGAAGAGCCTTTTGTGTGGGTGCATTTATAATTGAATTCCTTTCCATAAGTGAATCGCTGAATGCCCTTGGAACCCAGATATCTTAGACAATGGGATCCTCAGTGGACTGAGTCATGGGCTAGTCTGCCATAAGGAAGTGGACGATCAAAATTTATGATCGTGTTCACAATGCTCCATTAGCAAGCCGATAATTGCGGACAGCGTGTGTGTCGCTGCACTTTGGGCCTTTTGGCTGTTATAACAAATGGAAGCAGGCCCGACAAGCGACGAACAAACAAGAATGTAAAAAAAAAATCGAAATCAAACAATACGATATTCGATACAGTTCTGAATCCGCGATTCAATTCGATTCGAGCGATCGATCGCCGGCAATAAATTTCGCATTCAATTGCTGCTCTATTGGAACTGAACTTTGTTGCTTTTGGCCGATGATGTCTGTGTTAGCAGCAGGAAGCTGGCGACCCGTTCAGATCAGCGACCAGTTGCTTACACTTGGAACTATCTATAAGAACTACATACTTCTTAAACGAATTTCGTAATTCAGTTTAGATTTTACTTAGAACGTAATACTTATAATATTATTATTAGATTATATTATTATTAGAAACCAAAAACATAAAATTTTAAAACATGATGATTCTAGCAGCTATCATAGAAGTTAAACTAACTATAAGAACAACATACTTTTTTAATGAATTTTATAGTTAAGTTTGGATTTTACTTAGAACGTAATGCTATTATTAGATTATATTATTATTAGAAACTAAAAACATACCATGCTAGACCATGATATTATATAATAAATATAGAGTATTATAAAGATTCTAGCATCTATCATAGAAGTTGTTTATAAGAAAACAGCTTGTAAGTGGATGATTTGATGTATGGACTTAAACTTATCTTTCTTTACATTTTAGGAACCTTATTTAATCTTGAGATCTTGGAAACAAGTAACCTTTGATTATATGATATTCCTATATAACTAGGAACTCTATTTTCTTTATCGCAGTGCAGACCATAGATCGAACTCACCTGTGGCCAGTCCATTGGTTAGTCATCGATACGTTTTGCTTTGTTTTGTTTTTTTTTTATTTTTCAGACTGACCTCGAGTGGCTCCTTAAATGGCTGTCGGCTGCAATCGCTTTGACTCTCTAATCGGGGGGGTTAAAATGAGGTTCAGGGGGTTAGGGGCACCCCAGACAAATGCCTTGACATGTTCAGGTGTCTGCCATGTTCGACTATCTGACTAATTAGTGTACTTTAACTAGACCAGCTCGCTGACATTTGGCCATAAATCGCAGAGACATCTTCGGTTCATCGAGAGGAGAGTTTGCATGAGTAGAGCGAATTAAGCAGGGATTTTTGTTTACCTTAACCCTTTAGCAATTCTTTTTTGTTTTGTTTTATAAAGATACTTTACTATACTCGAAGCGTGTCCAATCACGCTTGTGAATTATTTAAAAATCTCTGCTGAGCTGTCTTATTTCATAAGAGAGACAAGCCTTAAAATTGTTACCCTGATGCCATAGAAATTCGTGTTGTCGTTGTCGTTCGATGATGTTGTTGCTGCCGGTGTTGTTGTTGTTGTTCGGGGGCCTTGCGATTATGGGAAATGGCTTTTGCTATCGCTTAGCACACCTCTCGATGGATGAACTTTTGGTATCGCCTAACGCCTGGGAAGAACCCCAAAAGGGGCGGAATCTGGGGGTTTTTATTTTAATGGAGTGAGTGGAAGTAAAAGGCATTCCGCTGAGGGGTTATCCATGGGAAAAGTGCAACAAATATATTGTTACGAAAAAAGATAAAACATTTTAATTTTAATCAAAAGAAATATTAAGCCGATAAAGTAAACTATATTAATAGCTGTAGTTCACCCAACACAGAATAACATGCCTCCATGTTACACATGATATCTGCCGCAACAGGTACAGCGTAAGACAGCGGTCACATTGATGACCTGCATGATTAGATGCAATTTTTTCCCAGACTCATCCATAAATATAAACATTTAATAAAAAAACTATTATTTTTAATTAGTTGTCTAAGCTTTTTGGTTTCATTTAATCCATAATTTATGAACATAAATCGTTTATCTGTTACATTTTTCAACAATTTTCTAGCTATTTGCATTCATCATTTGTAACAATGAAACAATTAAAGCAAATTGCAATGTACAATTTCCTCTTTTCCTTTTTTTCTTTTTAAAAAAAAAACCTAACAGGTTTACAAATCTCTTAATTTGGAATGTTTTTGTGTAACACTTATTCCCTTCGATTTGAAATAAACATTTATTAGACACCCACAGTCATGCGGTGAACGACCCACTTTGTTTTGGATTCGCAAATTATTTTGTGGCACGCCACATGCTGCAACACCAGCAACCAAAAAAAAAAGAAACCAAGAGTTGCCAACATTAATTTAATATTGAAATTACAATATTTTCGTTTCTCTTTTTGTTTTTTTTTTTCTGGGCAGATCCGAATTCATTTGATTCTACGGAGATGTTTTCATGCACGATTCGGGGACTTATTGATGATGATGCAAAAGTTAATTTGCGAATGCACACTCCTTGTTCTTTGGTTCCTCAGCCGATGCTGATGAACTTTTTGGGCAGAAGCGAATGATTGGCACATTAGCAACAAATTGTTAGTACATCTTATTTAAGCCGTTTAATTAATTCCGCGCATTCTGACTACCCATAAAAAATTCGTCGAAAAATACAACAAATGAAATCAAATGGGTGAGACAAATGTAAAACGGGTGGAATTGGGAATGCTCTTTAAGATTTGCAATTTAATTGGCAGTTTACATTTTAATTGGTCTTTACACAAATTATATTTTAAAAAGGATAATGAATATACTAACCAAATCACTATGGTATTTTCCTTTTATACCTGTGTCAATCCTAACTGCTAGATATTATTGACTCAAAAATAAGGTTAATAATCAGTATTATTGAGATAAATTAGATGAGGCTTGCAAAAAATTTAATTTGACTTTTTATTTAATGGTAAACATTTTTGGAATGGTATATTTCCTAGACCAACAGGAGTACTAAGCTAGAAATAATTTTCAGTGAATAGCAAAATCGCTCTAAATGCTGTTTAGACTAAATAACTTCATGCTAGGGTACAGCCCGCATTAAGAATCTAAGAAATAGAAGACCAAATTGCGGGGAAAACAATCAGCCAAGCCACGAAGTTAGCCCGACTTCGAGCATCTCTGGGCCAACATCTCTGGCCAATTGCCGGTGGAAGACGTGCCTAGGCTTGTCAAGGTGCCCCGACTTTGTCTGGCTCTCTGGCGATTCCCCCGGATCCCCACATTATTGGCTAAAGTTACAGTATGTTGTGGGCACACATAGAAGCTACCTTCAATTTGACAAAAGCCCCTGGCAGACAAACGCGATTGCATGTTGCCTTTCAATTGCCAATGTTGACCAAGTTCTCCGTCCTGTTCTGCACTATCAATTGATACAAATCTTGGCAATTTTAGAATATAGAGACATAAAACATGGCCCACTGCGGCCAGCTATTGCCACACTGAATGTCAATAAATAATACAGTGGAGCCTCTAAATATGTATGTATATATCTAAACAATATACATATAGACAGAACATATCGGTTGGCTTTAGCTTGAGACAGGTCGAGGTCGCCTTTGAGAGCCGCAGGTGAGAAAATGGCCAACCGCCGCCGAGAGAGACCCAAAGATGCCACTTTTTTAGCCTCCGAACATGCAACTGGTTGCCTGTGCCGCGATTTTTGACACTGGAAAAAATGTCTGAAAGAAAAGAAATTTTTCCAAATTTATCCGATGCTTGATATTTGATTACCTTCTTCTCAATAATAAAACCTTATTTTCATCAGGCTTTAATATCAAATCGCTAAATTTAAAAACTTTAAATGTTATTTAACTTTGTCCTTTTGGACGTACAAATACATAGCTTACTAAAGATTTTTTCAATCGGATTAAGGATTCAGTAGTTGTTTTCAGTGTACTACCAACATATTCCATTTTATAGCAGACAATTAGAGATTTCTACAGTTGCAATTGGATTTACACTGGTAAATTGTGGTGTTATTAAATTTAGTGTCATAAAGAACGATTATTTTCTTAACTACATAGAATAGTTTAAAGAATTTAAATCTTCAGTTTATTTCTGAAAGTTTGACTTCGCATGTGTTGTATAATAAATGGATGTCGATTTTGCAGAATACATTTGTCTAAAAGGTTATACAATATATTTCTATTTTGCAGTATTTTATTGTTAAAAACTTCAGTTTATTTCTGAAAGTTCGAATTTGCAGGTATTGTATAATAAATGGATGTCGAATTTGCAGAATAAGTTTTTCTAAAAGGTTATTCAATATATTTATATTATGCAATATTTTATTCTTTTTGTCTATAGAAAATTGTATACAAATTCTTCATCCAACGAGTTTAGATCGGACCATAATTAAGGTGTTGGTTTCAAGACAATTTTTCTTAGTGCCGCGGCATCTTCTTCCATCTTGGGAGCCAGCAATTGGAGCTGCCTGTGGTTCTGTCTAGAACATCGTGTGCTCTTTATCACTGACAGATTGTACTGGCCATTTAATTTATGGCGATTTTCACATGCAGTACTCGGAACATTACTGGGTCCGTTGTTGGACTTGGACTGCAAAAACTATGACGGTATCGTATTGCCGGAGGGTGATGGGGGTATTCGAGTTATTCAATCCGTTTGCCTGGGCAACCTTTAGAACATCATCCATCTGCATAAATCAACTGCGATTTACAAATGAGCCGAGGCGGATATTTGCTCCTCTATTGGGGTGCAAACAACTTCCCTAACGCCAATGCTTGTGAACCGAAT